GACCTACTCAGAAACAAAAAATTATTATCAGTGTTGTTTTAACTATTAATGAAAATAAAATAAAATGAAATTTATATTACTTACCTGAAACAGGTAATGTTGGAACAAATTTATTATTGACTTTTTGTCATGTGGATAAAATGTTTACCTTCAGTGTAGTGTAGAGCTCACTGTAAGTAAGGCAGCCTGATTGGCCGAAGACGAAGACCCCTTCCTCTCCAACAATCTCCATCTCACACATGTTCCATTTGTCCACTAAGAGCTTTTGATCTGCTTCACTTTGTGCCGCTGTAATCGCAACAACTTTATTTGAAAAGTATTTCTTGTGTCAAGTAACTGACTTTTTATAGACGGCTACAAAGTCGCACCTTGCACTGCTGCTTTGTACACACTGGACATCTGGATATCTGCAGTATCATTGCTATTGGTGGGAAACGACTCTGCAAAGCCATACATGTGAAGGAGCTGCCAGTTTGCCATCTGTCCGTAGGTGTTAAAGACCTCCTCGCCCTTTTCAATGGGTAGTACGGACACCATCTTCAAACACTCCTGTGCAAAATCGAGTGAGATTTTTAAGCATCTAGCATAATAAACAATAAAATGCGATACATCTGCTCCACATACGGGTGTATATTCCAGATTGGCATTGTGCTTGGAAATGTGATTCAGCATGTCAGCCATGGGCACCATCACTGGAGGGTTAGGTTCTTTTTCTTCTTCTTCATCCTCATCGGGCTCTTGAAAACTGAGGAAATATTGAGAATCGTTGGGAAATGTTACAAATAAATTAAGGAATACACTGATATATACATTCTGACTGATATGATAAGCAGATCATTATTTTCATGTTATTATCAATAACCAACAAATGGCTAGTGGTCGACCAAAATATCGGCAAGGTCGATATTTCAGCCAATATTTGACTTTTGTTTTTAAATATCAGCAAATTATTTATTTTTAATTTAGTAAATATTATTTAAAATAAATACAAATTTCATTTCAGCAATTGTTATACATGTGTTTTTTTTTACTAACTTTAAAATGAAATAGTGTGATATTATATATATATCTGCTTTATATCGGCCACCTTGCTCTTTAAGATATCAGCATCGACCACTATAAATGGCCAATATTAAAATTCTACTATTTTGTCTAAATATTACAAAAATTAAAAATAAAATAAATGGATTTAAAAGTGAAATTAGGCATCACAGCATTATAATGTCCAGTATGAAAAATAAATATTCATTCAGAGCTAAAGATTAAAAATAACAAAGTTATTTCATTATTAGTGTTATGTTTATGTTATTAAATTGTAATGATCATTAGATGATGGCAAATGTAATTTAAATATAAAATTAGGAGAAATTAGCATGCACAATTAAATATTCAATTTATCATTTCAAATATCGTCCAATAACCAATTTGGTATTTATACCATAATAGTATATAAATAATACTAATTATTATTATTAAGCTTCTGTTACACACACACATACATATCCATATACATATATATAATTATTGTTATTTATTATTTTTATTATTATTATTTATAATACTGTATATAAATACAGTATAGATAATATACAGTTATTATACAGAGATTAAAATGAGATATTTTATATTATACCATTAAATTTAAATATCAGCCAATAACTAATGTGGTACCGATATATTGAGCATCCCTAAATAGAATCCTCACATTATCAGAAATGTAATTGAATCAAATCCAATAGCTTAGATATCTCACCTATAGGCCATTACAAATGCTACCAGGCTCTTGTAGAGCTCCAACGTGTGCTTCTCAGGGTCCCACAGGTCAGGATGGGACTTCATGAAAGGAAGGACTATCTTATTGTACTCATCCTGGAGTTTTTTCAGATCCATTTCGACAGCCTCTGGAATTCCTGTGCCTTTCAGGAGTTTCTCGCGCTCCTCTTCTGACCTTCAAAAAAACACTCTGTGACCATAAAGAACTGAAGGACTCTTGAAGAGTATCTTAAAGGTCAGCAAATATTCACAGCACAACCTACCAGAACATGGGTTGATCCAGTGTCCTAAAGTCTGGCCAGAGAGACAAATATGGTTTCCAGTGGGATTGTGGACATGTGTACTCATATAGGAGACCCAGAAGAAGAGGAACCCAGCCTGATGCGCTCTCCAAAGACTTCTTCCCTAGACAACATATGGTTATATGGTTACAAGCCTGCTATAGAAGGTGGAATTTCAATAAACCTGAATGTTCTTATACCTTCCTCAAGGACCTTTTTAACTTTAGTGGTGGCCTGATGCAGAAGAACCTCTCTGGGTATGGAGAACAAGACGTGACCCTCTTCAATGTCCTCTTTGGCAAGCATGCCATATTCTGCTACCGTACCCTCTTTACTTAAGTACACCTAAAGAAATGAATGTGGGTAAATCCTAGTTTCTCCAAGTGTAGGGTTTTATCGTCATGTCAAGAGCTTGTCTAATCATGCATTTTGAAATAAAATATAAATACAGATGAAAAGCGTAATCGTGAAAAAGTAAACAAAATTAGAAATGTTGCCTTTACAACTAAATATAAGTACTACAATTATATTTTTTTAAAAACTTGAAAAATGACAAAAGAACAAAAAACAATTTTTACTATTTTTTTAAACTTAAACTGAAAATTTTAGTTTAAGATACCAAAAATAGTTTTACTAAAACTGAAAATACAGGAATAAAAGCTAATTCAAAATATTAATACGAAAATACTATATAAACGATACAAAAATAAAATTGATTATATATTATTATTATTAAGCTTTTATCAATTTATATAAAATTATATATATAATATACATACATACATACATAAAATTACATGCAATTATAAAATTATAATACACATACATACATACATGCTTACCTTATCGCTGAGAGTCAGCTTCACACTATCGCACCACTGCAAGAAGTTTTTCAAGGGGTCCAGCACACAGTTCTCATCATCTGTCTGAAACACACATGATGGTATGCTGAAGGCTCATCAGGATAAGCACAATAACTCTGTTTCAAGCTAAAGGCAATACTTGAATCTAAACTATTAATTATAATAACTGATAGTTTGAGGATTTTTTTTTTTTTTACCTTTGGCCTTTTTGCACCTGTCGCCATTTTTTTTTAAACGCAAACTCGTTAGTGAGATATTAAACTATATATTGTTTTGTAATGACAACCACACAAGAATACACTAATGATTATATTCTATGTGCCTCCATGTGGGCAGCTTCGGCGGCTTCTTCTTCTTCCACTATGTCTGCTGAAAGAAAGAAACACAATCCTGATGTGCATTGGCGCCCCCTACTACTAGTACTACTACTACAGAATTAAAAAAGTAAATAAAATTAAATAATTAATAAATAATCAATATAAATGCTCTATATAAAAGATTTAGACTTTAAATTGAAGCTTGATTCTTCCTGTCATTTATTTAATTATAAATCTATTGTAAATATATAAATATATATACATTCAGCAAGTAAAAAAAAAAAAAAGTTAAATTTTTAACACTTTTTACTGTTTACCATTGCCATTATATATATGTCCAATTTACAGATCCTCAACAAGTCAGGTGTGAGGACCTGAAAAGATATTTATTAAGATATTTATTATTTGACATTACTCACGTGTCTTAATTTTATTTATTTATTTTTTATTTTTTTGCTAAGTAAACACAGACATAAATTCACTATGACAATAAAATAAAGTGTATAAACAGAGACAATGTTATCTTACCGACAGAGAATGGCATAAAGGCCTCAGGCTTCTCGGCCAGGCCTGCTCATTCAGGAAGTTGGCTGGGTTAAACTCATGAGGAAACTTCAACTTGTGCTTCTCCAACAGCACAGAGGAGAGGTTGAGAAAGATGAGAGCTTTCTGTAATTTTCCAGTGATTTTTCATTACTATTCAATTAGGTTTTTAAAAGCAAATATATTGTATAAACACTTAAATATTGATTCTACATGCTATTCCCATACAGTATGTGGCATTCCTATACTTCCTGTCTGACATTACATCATAGTTTTAATGACTTTAACTGGTAGAGTGTTTATTATATGTATATCCTGCATTCTTCACAAAAACAATAACAATGCACTTCGTCTATTTAACACTTAATTTTTTATGTAAAAAAAAAAAAAAAGCTTATGTGACATTTACATTGAGTGATTTTGAATTTTGCTCTTTTTCATGTGTGATGTGGTAGGTTAGGCTACAGGTCACATGGTCTTCCTCTAGTCCGCCCCTGGGTAATGGACACTCAGCACTGACATTGTTTACAAGCAGACATTTCACTAATTATTCTGATCATTCTCATTTAGTCAGCTAAAGCATTTTAATTTAAGATGTTTGCCTTAGTGCATTCATTTAGAATTTAACTATTCAGATATACATCTCAAAGTGAACAACTCAACTTTGCAGTCCAAAGGGAAGATTTATGCAAAAAGAACTTATTTATATTTTTCTATATTATTTATATTATTATTATTTTTAGGTTTATTTCACAGAACTGGTATATTTGCTAGGAATGTCTTAAAAACAGACACATTTATCAACTTGCTGGTTAGACCTTTATTATGTTCTCTCATCAATCTTTCATCTTTATTATGCTCTCTCATCATCAACAAACTTTCTTCTGAAGCAAAATGCATATACATACACATATTTCTATAATAAAATAAACTTTTGATTGACAGAGCTCACTTTGGGATTATGGGTAATGTAATTCAGATATTGAAAACAAGGCAGATTGTATCATATATCATCACTTCAACCACCTTGAAACTCAAGGTAGGTCTGTATTAAAAGAAAATTAATTTAATTTTTACTTCCAGAACCCAACTGTTGCACTCAGTTACCTGCAACTTCATGTGCAGCACGATCACAAAGATTTGATAATGCTATACAATTATTATTAGCTAGTTCAAGTTAGTCTGTTTATCAAATTATATTCTGTATAGAGTAGGGAGGAAAAGTATTTGGCATTATGATTTACTGTTTAACTGTCTCTCTGCGTCTGATGTGCATTCTGTATGGTTTGGGGGTGAGGGTGACCCCATATACTGGGGTGTAATCTGGATCCCCGGCATCATCGGGCCACGCAAACTGGAAACGGCGCTCCATACGTGCAAGACCCTCACCGAGACACACACGAGGACCTGTAAAACACATACAGTATGATGATGCTCACAGAACAGGTCTGACAAGATAAAATATGTCATACATTTTTTAATGGTTACCTGTAGAGAAGGGTATGAAGGCCTCAGGCTTCTCAAACTGGCCCTGCTCATTCAGGAAGTTGTCTGGGTTAAATTCATGAGGAAACTTCCACTGGCCTTCTTCTTTTAGTATGGTAGTGAGGTTGGTAATGATTACAGTTCCCTGACCAAGGAGAAACAGTTCAAATTTGTTCTGAAGTATTAAAAACTCTGGTTTATATGGAGGTTTCCTCACCTTCGGGATGCTGTAGCCCATCAGCATGGTGTCTTTGGTGGTGCAGTGAAACACTCCTAGCGGTACAGTGTTAGCAACACGCTGAACCTCATGAATCACAGCCAGTGTGTACGGCATATTGTGTCTGTCTTCATACGATGCGTGATCTTTACCCTCCAGAACCTCATCAATCTCTTTTTGACATTTTGCTGGTGAGAAAACAAGGCCATGTTTGTCTGTTTAAGTTTAAAGGAGTTAGCTTTGCAAATAAAAGTTTACAACATTCAGTTAAACAATTAATAGACATCAAATTAGCAATAAGAACAACAATATACATTTAGCTTCTTTAGTTCAAATCACACTTAAAAACTGTATTTGCAATGCCTGTTCTAGTTTCGCTAATCAAGTGCCAGTCATTTGGCTCTTTTCAGGTCTGAAGGTAGTTCAATTTCTACAGTTGCCATATTGAACATTATGATTTCTTGCATTTGTTTTTCTATGAGTAGTCGGTCTCCTCCTGCTCTACTGCCTCTAATTTAACCTTAACCTGGATTAAATTCAACCAAAATCAATGTCTTTAAACAAACCTTGAATCTCTGGGTGGGTCATGAGGTAGAGAAAAGCAGTGAAGAAAGTGTTGGATGTGGTATCAGTCCCTGCAAAGTGCAAATCCAAAATGTAGATGATGAGCTGGTCTTCAGAAAAGGTGGAACCATCATTTTTTCTCTGGGGAATGTAAGATATCATTCATTTGAGATTCAAACTGTGGTGAAGCTGTTCAAGAATAAAAAAGTCTTCAAAAACCAATGCAAATGCTTCTAATTTTCTAATGCAACATCATTTTTTTCATTATAAATTATATTATCAGCATAACAATTTGCATGAAATGTATTTTTAGGCTTGAATCAGATTTTGAACCTCGGAGTTCCAATGTGGTTTTAGACATATGAACCCCACTGTGTTTTGGAAGAAGCACGCACCTTATTAAGCTCATCCAGATAGCAGTCGATGAGGTCTCTCGGCTCTCCTGGGACTCTTGTGCTCTTGTGTTCATTGATCAGACACAAATTCATATTTTTTAACTTCTTTGCATGATCAAATGCTTTTTTAAATGGCAGGGGCAAGATTCTCAGTAAAGGAAGTGTGTCATATATCTGTTGAAAAAATACATGTTTGACGTTTTCGTATACAGTTACTCTAAAATGCAAATTTTTCACAAATTTGAATGTATAGTCACATTCAGTGAAAGCGAAATATAATAAAAATCATTTATTTTAAATTTAATTTAATACGGTTTTCTATTAAATCACCCATGCTTACTATTGACTAGTAGCTTTGAGATACCTCTAAATCAAAATACTTAATAATTTTACAGGAAAACAGATCAAATATATTGATGACTCATCCTGCACTACACAGATTTTTGTCCAATCAGATGATTTCTAGAATGAGAATGTCCCTCCCCTAATAGCTTACTGTATTCCTCTGATTAGCTATAGCATGTAGAAAATCACACTTTAATCACTGGCTATTAAGAAAAAGGAAAGAAAGAGAGAAAACGGCAATTGTCAAACGGTTTCATATGGTGTTTTGATCCTAAATCTCACCATATTCCATGGTCCATTGATGATCTTTGAAATCTCTGTAATGATCTTGATGTACTGCTGAAGGAATTTGTTGTTGTAATCAAAACGGGATCCAAACAGAACCAAGCCAATAACGTTTGATGCAACATTGTGGAACATATTCTGAGGATTCACAGTTCCTCCTGTACAAATGTACAGTATCGGTTAAAAACATTATGACCTTCCTTGTCAGTTGAGATCTCAACCAACAAAAATTGTTTTTACATATAAATACCAGCATTTTTGTCCAAGTCAGCAACTAAATGTGAGATTTCTTCCAGAATTCTCTCTTCCATGGACTGCTTCCCCAGGCCAAAGTTCCTCAGGGTCATCAGAGCAAAGCGTCGATGATCCTTCCAACAGGGGCCATAATCGGCCAATACAACGCCTTTAATTAAGTTAAGATGTTAGTTGTGGGGATTCTGTTTTGTTACATGTTCCAAAAGCTTATAATCACCAGCATAACACTTATAACATGTTCCTGATATAAGCCATACTGTTAAATACTACAACAGTTAATTAGTTAATAGTCCTCAAATTTGATTGGTTGAGCAACAGCATTCCAAGAACGTTGATAATCCAAAAACGCAATGGCTTTTTACTGTTTTATTACTCTGCTTGTTTGTGATTGCACAGTCCAGATTGCCTGTGTATAGGTGGGGATTTTTAGTGACTCATTAAATGTGTTACATCGTTAAGGCCCAGTCAACTTCTTTTTCATTATTGCATCATCTAGCTCAGCGGTTTCCAACCCTGGTCCTAGAGTTCCCCAAACAGTACACATTTTGGATGTGAAACAACAATTTTAGGTCTCTACTAATGAGCTGATGAGTTGAATCAGGTGTGTTTGATTAGGGAACTCTGATTAAGTGCAGAGTTGGGAGTACCCCAGGACCATGCGCAATACCTAGTGGACCAGTCGCTGCACCCGAAATCGAATACTTCCCTACTATATAGTACGCTAAAAACAGTAGGGCTGCATCCAAAATCGCATATTTTGTTACTAGTAGGCGAAAAACAGTATGTGCCAAAAGAAGCATATCCGAATTCACAGTACTCATAAAAGAGTTGGCAAAAAGTGCCTGGAAGAGCTGTTACTTCTGGCATGATCCTGAACTGTGTATATGATGGACACTTTACCATCCTATAAGGCCACAGGAGAGGATTTATGAAAGGCAATGATGCAACACAACATTCATACTATATAGAACGTACTCTTTTTGCGGTCGCAAAGTAAAGCTTACCTACTCAAGAGATATGCGATTTCAGATGCAGCCTATGTGAGGTGAGTAGTATGTCCGCATTCATAGTATTCAAAAAACAGTAAGCGAAACGTAATTAGATTATTAGTAATTAGATTATATTACATTCTAAAATACTTGTAATCAACTATAATTACTTTTTTACTGATTACATGATTACATATTACTCACACAGTAGATACAGATTATTCATAATTTATTGATTCTCCCTAACTCTTCTTTTTCATCTTTTAAATTTCCTTTTTAAAATAGCCTTCCACTCATATAGCCTCCATTCAGAAAGTCTCAAAGAACAATCCCTAGTCAGGTGGCTGTAATTACACAGAACATTGAGAGGCCATACAGCATTTGACCACTGGATTTGCAGAAATCATTTAAAAAGGGTTTTCTCAACATTTCAACATTGCATCAACTACTGATGAACACATTCATTTTTATTTGAATTATCATTCAGTAGATTATTTAACCATGTATAACTGTGTCTTTGAAAGGCTTTTTGTCTTTCAAACACATTAAAATGCACAAATTCACATTATTTCTTATTTACATGTAATGCAGGGATTCACAAACTTTTTTGTCAGCAACCTCTTTCACCAAATATATTTGCTTGAAGGACCCCCTGAGATTTTAAGGTAATGATAATAGTTAATGATTAAGTAACACATTTGACGTAAACCTTGACATAATGTTATGTTTAATGCACTTTATGTTGTTAATAACAACGAATGTAATATATTTTCTTTCTCTTTGTATTTTTATATTAATATGGTACAAGATTATCCTATTTTAATTAATGTGATAAACGAGTTTGGTAAGTAATCAAAAAGTAGTCAGATTATATTACCTAAAATGTGTAATGTAATGTATTACATTACTAACTACAATTTTTGTCATGTAATTTGGAATCAGTAATGGATTACAATTTGTGTAAGTAATCTAGCCAGCACTGGTCACGTGACAGTAACAACATGGTGGATTTAGTACGTTCGACTTTAATTCAAGCTAACTATTTTTGACTGTCGCAAAGTAAGTTCAAATTCAAACGTAGTACCTATTCAATATGCGATTTCAGACACACCTTTTGGGTTTGAGTGCTCAAATCACTTGCGCATGTGCTGTTGCCCGAAAAGAAGTATATTTTCTACTTTACGCCAGTAAGCAGAGACAAGTCAGTGCAGTGAGTTTTTTACTCAACCTATTGGTTCAAAATTCATTCAGGAACGACACAGTTGATGCACAACTGCTTTGACTTCTTGTGGAGCTAATTCATACAAAGCCAATATAATTGGCAATATTGTGTCTAAATGTAAGTAGGCCTAACTCAAACACAACTTCTTTATGGAACTGTTGTATAAAAGCAATATTTCACTCACTAGACTGTGATTTTATTACTTAGCTGATAGGACAGCTTGTAGTATGAGTTACCTTTATTCTCTGAGAGATGATTGATCATGAAGTCTTGAGGCCGTCCTGAAAAATCTTGAGCCTTCGTAACCAAAGCCTCCTTAATAACCTCAAAACTATTTAGAAAAACGGCTGGTCTTGATCCAGTATACAGGCTGAAAATTTTCCCATATTGTTCTGCAAACTTAAAATATTGTAAAATTACTTTACAAACAAGAAAAATTTAAATGTTTAAGCTTCAGATGATCAAAAGAAAGCCATACTCTTTCAAAATCCTTCAAAGGATTGGCCATATTCACATGAAGCAGATTCCCAAATAAAGGGAGAGGAGGAGGTCCGGGAGGAAAATTCTTTGGCCTCTGGATCCGGATGAGGAGGAAGACGAAGAAGATGCATGTCCACACGAGAATCAAAGAGCCCAGCATGCTGACTAGATGTCCAGCTGTTGTCCTTCAAGCAAAAAAAGCGTATGAACTCAAAGCACTCATGCAGTCTCTTAGTCCATCTGAACAAATATTATGGCCATGTTCCAGGAAAGATAAAATGAACCCAGGCAAACAAACACTGCTCAACATTTTGTGTTTCTGTATTCACCTGGATCAAACTGGTTTGAACTCTATATATATCCCTTCAGTATGCAGGAGATATATACATATATCAGTTGATCAGGTCTATGAGCAAAAAGCCCAATTACAAGGGCAAATAAGTTTTTTTATAACTGCTGATTGAAAAAGGTTATATAGTTTTGAATTTAACAAAATTATTATTTTCACTTTATACTTTTTGTTTTAGTGTTTTTTTTTTCAGTGTTTTGAAGTTGGTGCTATCTAGTGGAATGCTCATGTTTAATGAAGGTACAGTGCTGTTGAAAAGTTTTGGGACAGTAGATTTTTGTTGTTTTAAATAAGAAATGTATACCTTTATGCAGCAAGGATGCATTACATTGATCAAAAGTGAAAGTGAAGACAAATATATGCCGTTCTTTTGAACTTTCTATTCATCAAAGAATCCTAAAAAATTTTTTTATCATGGTTTCCACAAATCATTAATCACAAAACATCAACATTAATAATAAGAAATGTTTCTTGGGCAGCAAATCAGTATATTAGAATGATTTCTGAAGGATCATGTGACACGGAAGACTGAAAATTCAACTTTGCCATTACAGGAATAAATTACATTTCAAAATATAGTGAAATTTTAAACTGTTATTTTAAATTGTAAAAATATTTCACAATATTACAACTCTTACTGTATTTTTCATCTAATAAATGCATAAAAGCATAAGAGACTTCTTGCAAAAACATTTTAGAAATTCTCCCCAAACTTTTAAACGCTAGTGCAAGTGGTGATAAAATTTGAAGCCTTTTCTATATCTATATTAGTTATAGTTTTTCTTTTTTTTTTTTTTTCATTTTTCATTTCACTGCCATACATTCAGACAAGAAGAGGAAGAATACTATTTTGTAACAGGTCTTTATTCAAGAACTGTCTTTTCAATTCTTTTTATGGCATAATCATCATAAACTGACTGTCTCTCTGCATCTGATGTGCATTCTGTATGGTTTGGGGGTGAGGGTGACCCCATATACTGGGGTGTAATCTGGATCCCCGGCATCATTGGGCCACACAAACTGGAAGCGGCGCAACAGAGTCACCATGATGAGGAAGAGCTCCATACGCGCAAGACCCTCACCGAGACACACACGAGGACCTGTACGAGACACATGTGCATATATAATTTACAAAATGCACTCAAACAAGCTAAACCTACACATGTATCCGATTCTGAACCGTTACCTGCCGAAAAAGGCATAAAGGCTTCAGGCTTCTCAAACTGGCCCTGCTCATTCAGGAAGTTGTCTGGGTTAAATTCATGAGAAAACTTCCACTGGCCTTCTTCTTTTAGTACAGAAGTGAGGTTAGGAATAACACAAGTCCCCTATAGAGAAGAAAAAGAGAGAATATTATAATTTTAAAAGGGTAAAAGTGTCTTTATATGGAGGTTTCCTCACCTTCGGGATGCTGTAGCCCATCAGCGTGGTGTCTTTGGTGGTGCAGTGAAACACTCCTAGCGGTACAGTGTTAGCAACACGCTGAACCTCATGAATCACAGCCAGTGTGTACGGCATATTGTGTCTGTCTTCATACGATGCGTGATCTTTACCCTCCAGAACCTCATCAATCTCTGTTTGACATCTCGCTGGTGAAATAAAATGTTGTGTTTAAGTTAAATTAATTGAAATTTTCTGATAAACCAAAACACAAACCTTGAACCTCTGGGTGGGTCATGAGATACAGAAATGCAGTGAGGAGGGTGTTGGATGTGGTGTCAGTCCCTGCAAAGTGCAAATCCAGAACGTACAGGATAAGTTGAGCCTCAGAAAACGAGGAACCATCGTTTCCTCTCTGGTGAAGTTAAAATAACCAATGATTAGAGAGAATAAGTACCACATTCTAAATCAGTTAAAAGTACTAGAGATGCATTGAAATAAAAATTCTGACCGATAGGCCTACTGATAAACCAGTAAGTATTTTTATATTATGGCCGATAAATATTAGAAAATGTATACTGTTTTGTTATAAATAATTGTTTTTTTTAAATATTTAATAAATATATATATTTTTAAAGATATTTGTTTTTAATTTTGCAGAAGATTACATTTAACAGTTTAACAATAATTAATTTAATTTAATTATTAGTGTTTAAACCAATTATTTTCATGTTATGATCGATAATCAATAAATGGTGGACATTAAAATTCTATAGTTTTAAATGACACAAAAAAAAATAAAAATAAAAAATAAATAAATAATCATTTTAAATGCTACAAGTAATTTGTTTCGAAAGATTTATAATGTACAGTATGGAAAATGTATATTTATTTTTACATTTGCTAAAGATTAATTTGAACAATAATTTAATTAATTTAACCTAATTTAATTAGTGTTTTGAAGATTAACTTTAAGTGAGCATTAGATGACGGCAAAGGTCATATAAATGTAAAAGTAGAGGAAGTGCACAATTAAATATCCAATAAATACCAATAAATAACCAATACAAATAAATAAATAAAAAATCTCTAATATCGGGGATAACAGATATGGTAACAACATTGTGAAAATGTGCATTCCTAAAAAATACCATCACAGATGCGCACATGCACCTTATCAAGCTCATCCAAATAACAGTCAATGAAGTCTCTTGGCTCTCCTGGGACTCTTGTCTTTTTGTGCTCGTTGACCAGTTGTGCAAACATTTCTCTGGCCTTGCTGGCATTTGTGAAGGCCTTTTTAAAGGGCAGAGGCAGACTTCTCAGCACAGGAAATGTATCGTATATCTGCAATAAAATAGACAAAATTTCTTTATAAAAAGTCCAAAATATCACTAGTGAAAATGCTGTTAATTTTAAATGTCTTTATATGCCATTCAACATAATCCTGAAACTTTTATTTGAACAATAACAAGTAAATAATAAAAACAAATTTGTAGTTTTAGACTTTTGCGCTTCTCTGAATATGTATTTTAATAGCTATGAATATAATAATTTAAAAGATGATTATACCATGGCCTCACCATGGCCCATGGTCCATTGACAATCTTTGCATTCTCTGTATAGAGGTGAATGAAAAGCTTGAGGAATTCATCGTCATAATCATAGCGGGATCCAAACAGAACAATGCAGATGATATTTGATGCAGCATTGTGGAACATAGTCTGAGGGTCAAAGGGGCTTCCTGCACAGACACAGTGTACATTGATCTGAATGTCAAGTCAAAATTGACATTGTGTGAACTGTTCCTTTAAGATACAGGTATATAACAAAAATAAGCACATTATTACCAACTCTTTTTTCCAATTGGGCAATAACATGAGAAACCTCTCCTAGAATTCTCTCCTCCATTGACTGCTTCCCCAGGCCAAAGTTCCTCAGGGTCATCAGAGCAAAGCGTCTGTGTTCTTTCCAACTGGAGCCATAGTCAGACAAAATTACACCTGCAGTAATATGTAAATATCATTTATTGGCCTCAATGATACTAATGGCGCTTTTCCACTGCATGGTACGGCACGGTACGGCTCGGTACGGTTCACTTTTGGGGGGTTTTCCACTGGGTACAGTACCTGGTACCTGGTACTTTTTTTAGTACCACTTCGGTTGGGGTTCCAAGTGAACCGTACCGTTACCAAAACGTGACGTGTAAACTCTGCTGATCACGGATTGGCCGGAGAGAATCGTCTCTACCTGCGTCACTGAACTTGCGACACAAACACAAAAGAACCGCTAGATTTAAATCAGCACAGCCGGGGGAGGAACTGCAGTGGAAACGCAAACCGTGCCGTGCCGTGCCGTGCCGAGCCGAGCCGAGCCGAGTCGTACCACGCAGTGGAAAAGTGCCATAAGTGTAATATTGGATAAAGTAGAAAATTGCTCTTTGGACTATAGAAGAGACACAATGTGAACAACCTCAAAAGGATATTGATTAACCATAGTCTGTACAAAGGTATAAGAGTGAAGGTTCATTTGCAGGTAGATTTACCGCTTCCTTTTGTAATATGGTTGACCATGAGATCCTGTGGGCGTCCTGCAAAGTCCATAGCCTTAGTAACAAGAGCTTCCTTCAAAACCTCAAAACCATTAAGAACCACCCAAGGTTTTGATCCCAGATACAGGCTGTAAACTTTCCCATAGCGATCTGCAAGCTGAAAGGTTTAGCACTGAGACATTAGACTGCTTGCAGTTCAATACGCTACCATATATTTTACAATGCAATAAGCATTTTTGGAATGTTGCATGGATATTCTTAATGTATTTCTTCAAGATTCAAATTAGTGATCAGTGAAGTGTTTAAGGAATGTAATACTGTACCCTCTCAAAGTCTTTCAAAGGATTGTTGATGTTTAGCTTCAGCAGATTCCCAAATAATGGCAGAGGACGAGGTCCAGGAGGAAGGTTTTTAGGCCTTGGGATTTGGATGAAGAGGAACAGGAGGAAGATGCATATCCACACCAGTATCAGAAAGCCCAGCATGCTGACTGATGTCCAGCAGTTAACTGCTCTCCTTTCACGTAAAACTCAGATAGCAACACATGAGCCCTCCCACTTCAAACACTGAACATTCCCAAGGTGCACCTTGCCTGAAGCCTCAAAATGAATATATTTATAATAACCGATTATCGATATTATCTATCTATCTATCTGTCTGTCTGTCAGTATATATTTTTATTAATAGGCCTTTTTTATTATTATTATTATTATTATATTATATTATATATCTATCTGTCAATATATAGGCTACTATCTATCTATCTGTCTGTATATCTGTTTGTCTGTCAATATATATTTTTATTAATAGGCCTTAATTATTATTATTATTATATGTCTATCTCAAGTTCAAGTTTCTCTTTTATTGTCTCCCTTAGGAGAAATTTGTGTTAGGCAACCGGGAGAGCAGATCAAACATACAAAAAAATAAAAAATAAAATAAAATATTACATCATTCCAAAACATATAATTCCTATACAATCCTAGTAATACACCAACATTACATGTTACCCATCACATTACCCTCACCCACACAACAATTTCAATCACTTATTCAATAATTTGACAGATAATGGAATTAGAGAAAATTTGTATCTTTTCAGCTTACAGATGTAAATCTATATCTCCTGCCCGAGGGCATTAGCTCATACTCCTTATGGAGAATATGGCTTGGGTCACCAATAATTTTAAGACTCTGCTTCCTAACAGACCTCTCAAAAATGTCCTGAAGAGAAAGTGGAGACAACATACCAATTATTTTTCCAGCTCTTCTAACCACATTTTGAAGTTGTGACCTAAGTTTAACAGTCAAATTTCCAAACCATATTGTAAAACCATAACATATTATAGATTCAATAGCTGATCTGTAAAACAGTAACATGATAGTTTTATCCACTCCATAAACCCCGAGCCTTCGCAAAAAATGCAAGCGCATTTGTCAATATATAGGCAACTATCTATCCATTTATCTATCTGTCTGTCAGTATATATTTGTATTAATAGGCCTATATTATTATTATTATTATTATTATTATATATCTGTCAATATATAGGCTACTATCTATCTATCTGTCTGTCAATATATATTTTTATTAATAGGCCTTAATTATTATTATTATTATTATATATTATCTATGTATCTGCCAGTCAAGTCAGAAAGTCTAAAAAAAAATTAACCAATGCCTAAAGATAAAACACTTAATTGAAAGAAAGCAAATCCAGGGGTGCCTTACTGCTTTAAATGGTTAATGAATTCAAACACATCAAAAGCTACAAAAAAAAACTAGCATTTTTCAATTTATCATATGACAGAAAAAACGGTATCTGTGGCCCCCACATGGACGCCTTAGTTCAAGGTGCCGTTTTTATCGCCCCCCTACAGGCCGTTTGACAGAATGCAGGAGCCTTTCATTTTTTTATCAGGTCATCCCATGATGCACCGCGCCTCAACGGCTTCAGTCATTCAAGCAGCTCAGAGAGCGTCTGTTCTGTTAGGCCATCTGGGTTCGGGTAACCTGTGTCCTGAACCGGACCGGTCCCTGAACGGGGGTCTATACTCTCTCATTTCGAGCTGAACTTCCCCGTCCATGCTTCAGGAATCACCGACCGTTGACGGGAAGCGAGTGTTTGGGCGGCAGAAGCGGTGCTGTCAGCGATATAACATCAGAAAGCGTTAAATATTAAAACACAAACCAACCGGAAAGAGAACTGGGAATTTAATCAAACTTTAAAAGCAACTTGATGGATTTAGAGACCGGAAGAAACGAACTGGGAGCAATGGGAGAGTCGCTGCAGCCGCAGACCCCCAGTCGCCACGAGAAAAGTCTCGGACTGCTCACGACTAAATTTGTGACTCTGCTGCAGGAAGCGAAGGACGGAGTGCTGGATCTCAAAGCTGTAAGTACGACACGAGCTCATCCTCATCATCACTACCACCATCATCAGCTATATGTTTTCAGTATCGCACGAGACGCGCAGCGCCAGCTGAATATGCATCGTTTTTAATGTTTGCATGCAAACAGATGCACTGTAGGTCTTATAACAGCACGGAAAAGTTGTTTAAAAAGTTGCTTTGGTAAGGGAACGGGGTCACGTGCACAGTCCCTCTCTCGACTCCCCCGACAGCTCGCCTCAAATAAACTAGTTCCTCAACTACACCAGGCGAGCCAGCGAACAGGTTGCAAATGTTATGTCACTCCTATCGGCAAAGCAAATCAGCTCGGGTGTTTGTTGTTGTGTCCCGGAGGGTTTTTCCCGCGGTTGCGAAGCAGATCCCATCCGGGCTGAAAACTCAAACAAAAGCCTTCAAAACAAGCACGTGCTCTGGAGTTTGGGATAGTTTAGGCCTGCGCGACCAGGGGAGGCGTTTCTTTGCATATCTTGGGGTTTAAGCGTAATATTACACGTCTAAAGTGTGTTAAAAGTATCATTTGGTGATTTTGAGCGATCCAAGTTTGTGTATTCGAAGTAGTGGTTTAGAAATGCGCAGCTGCTGCTGGAACCTGATTGCATCAAGTTGCTTGCTTGTCAACTTTTCTGGACTGTTTTTTGTCTTTTTTTTTTTTTTAAGTCAGTCTTGAAAGGACAGTTCACGGAAAAAAAAATTAAATTCTGACTTTACTCACCCTCATTTTGTTTCAAGTCCATATAACTTGATATTTTCAGTGGGAGCACAAAAGATGTTAGGCTGAATGACAGCCTCAGTCACCATTCACTTTCATTGCTTGAAAAAAAGGTTCAGTGCAAGTGAATGGTGACCAACGCTGTCTGTCTCTCACATTGTGCCTAATATTTTAATAAGTCATAAAAAGTGAGTATTTTTCAGTGAACTGCTCTTTTAATGGCTTCATATGTGAAACATTTGCACTGTGCAAAACACTTTGTGTGTGTGTTGTGTAGTTAGTCCATTTACAGGTAAAGAGGTGAAACAATAATCTGGTTTGCTCTGTTTGTTTGAATGTGATTTAGGCTGCAGATACTTTGGCTGTAAGGCAAAAACGGCGTATCTATGACATCACCAATGTTTTGGAAGGCATTGGACTCATCGAGAAGAAATCCAAAAACAGCATCCAGTGGAAGTAAGACAGACGTGCAGATGCTTTCTGATGACTTTAATGTTGAAACATACTCCTTATTCCTATATTTTTGGTCACTGCATTATTAAAATGTTTCACATCACAAATGAAAGTTTTAGTGGTTGGGTTAAAAGAACCTCAGACATATTTTCTTTGTGAAACTAACTAGCATAATGTTAATTATTATTATTGCATGTGTACGGCAACCGTTTTTCACTCAAAGTATGTTGTGTAAATATGAAATGTAGTATTGCATATACACTTTCAAGTGTCAGAAAAAAAAATGTTTTGAAAGAAATTAATGCTTTTATTAAGCAATGGCATATTAAATTGACCAAAATTTTACAAAAGATTTCTGTTTCCAATAAATGCTGTTCTTTTGAACTTTCTATTCATCGAAGAATCCTGAAACAAGGTATCAGTTTCTTCAAAAATATTAAGCAGCACGACTGTTTTCAACTTTGATGATTATAAGAAATGCAGCAGATCAGCATATTATAATGATTTCTGAAGGAACATGTGACACTGAAGACCGGAGTAATGGTGCTGAAAATTCAGCTTTGCATCACAGGAATAAATTACATTTTAAAATGTATCTGAATGAACATTTGAAAACAATGATTTTTGAAAACTTTCATGATATTACTGTTTTACTGTATTTTTGATCAAATAAATGCAGCCTTATTGAGCACTTTCTTTAAAATCTTACCGACACCAAACTTTTGAACTGTACTGTAAAATACTATTGTATTTATGTATTACAATTTGAAGTAATATACAGTGAGTGACAATGAGCAAGGTTTATTTTAAGAAATAACCCAACCAAAACGTGAAAATGCATTTAACTGCTCTTCTGAGACATCTGTTTAAAATTAATATCTTTACTAAGCTGTAGCTGTTTATATTTTTGAGAGGTATCTGTTTGAATGTCAACTAATTCACTTGATCTAAATGTCTGTCTCTGTTTTTGTTTGTTTGTAGGGGTGTTGGTCCGGGTTGCAACACACGTGAAATTGCAGACAAGCTAATTGATCTCAAGTTGGAATTGGAGGATCTGGACAGGAGGGAACATGAACTGGACCAGCAGAGAGTTTGGGTTCAGCAGAGCATCAAAAACGTGACAGACGACTCGCTAAATAGCCCATATCCTTCTAGCTACACCTTTAGGTTTCATCTTTTGAGTGTTGTAACCACTCTACGGTACTTAAAGTCTGGATTGTTTTAGCTGTAGATGCTCATGTGACACTTTAAATCGATCCTCAAAGTGAAGTTTGTATTTGAAAGCTTATGTTTGCTCTATGTCTTTAACTTGACACACTCTGGCGTATGTAACACATCAAGACCTCTGCAATTGCTTCAAAGGTTGGTTTTTCCCATCAGACTCCCAACACAACATCAGTGTTCCTGCAATAACAATTATTGCCAGTCAGAAAGCTGCAAATGTCTACTACGTTAACTCTATATATGTTTCTCTGCCACTAGGTGACACTCTTCTAGCAATAAGAGCTCCTTCAGGAACACAGCTGGAGGTTCCTCTGCCTGAATCTGTAAGTCCTGCTTGTATTTCCATTAAAAAGTAATGTGGAGAGTTTATATATTTCTATATAAATAAACTTGTTTAGTCTGCAATACAATTGCGTGTGTAAATTAAGTCAAGTTGGTTGCCTGATTTGTGCGTGCTTGTAGTGGTAAGCTACAATTATTATTGTAATTGTTTTAGCATGTCAATGGACAAAAGAAGTACCAGATTCACCTGAAGAGCTCTGCAGGCCCCATCGAGGTCCTGCTGGTGAATAAGGACCCCTCTAGTTCTTCTCCAGTGGTGCTGCCCGTGCCTCCGCCTGACAACATGCTTCAGAGCCTGTCCACCCCAGCTTCAACTACCTCTGCTGCTGCTGCACCCACCAAACCGGCAGCCAACAGTAAGCCATCCTCCACCTCCACCTGCCAGAGTCCCAGCACGA